ATACTATATATATATATATATATATATATATATATATATATATATATGTGTGTGTGTGTGTGTGTGTGTGTGTGTGTGTGTGTGTGTGTGTGTTTGGTATGGATCCCCCACGATAAATGATGGACTACTTTAGTTTGAAAAAGCATGCACAAAGACATGAAAAGGTCTGAATTGGGGGAAAAAAATAGGTCTGAATTGCTGATTACTGAGCTGATGGATGATTTCTCATCAGCTGTGACTCTCCCTCCATGCCTTCCTGAGGGCAGTCTTTGATTTGGCTCTGGTATAAGAAACAACAACAGTGGGCAGAGAAAAGTGCTATGGTGTTTTTGCAGAACCACTTATCTTGCATGTGCTTCATTACAGGTTTGCAGTGTAGAAAAAGTATCCTATTGTTATGAAGACACCCTCAATCCCCTGGTATTAAAATGTCTTATAGTATTGCCACAAACAGAGGGGCCTTTGTGTGTGTTGTACTGATATTACTCATACAGTGAGGACCTGCTTTTACAATCATCCACTGAGGACCTGTCCACTTGTAGGAACAAAAAGACAGCCTTCAAAATTATTACTTTCTGAAATAAAGATGTTTTAATGTTCTAAGGTTAGTCTGAAGGTTAGATGGTGAGAAGCAATAACTCAGTTTAGTGTGGTATGTCAGTGTAATGTACTCAGAAGTCACAGGTTCACAACAGTGTGTGTTAACTCAGATAGAGAAGCTTTGCATGTTAAGTGTCTACAGCTGTTGGTGTGTGACAGATGATGGCAACATGACAATGGAGAAAGAGACCGGTCAGTGTTGGATTTTCTTTTCCGTGCATGCATGTTTGAGTGTGTGTGTAGGGTCTAAGCCCTGTTAAAGATGTCAGATCAAAATATAAAACAAGAAATAAATGTGTTTGTAATTTATTTTTGCTTTTATGAGTCAGTGTGTTTGAGTGTATATCTGGTTACTATGTATCTGTGTGTGCGAGCTCACCCAGCCACAAAAAGAACATGGCCTTCTCATCAGAGTTTTTAACCCTTGTATTGTCTTTTGAGAGGAAATCACATTTGTTTTTGTCCTTGTTTTAATTGTATTTATTTATTTGGTGCAGTCAATGGGATTTTTTTTACAGGGGTGGTGCTTGAATGGTTCCGTTCGTATCTGGGTGACAGGAGTTTTTGTGTTAGCTTTGACAATCATTTATATGCTTCTGTCCCTCTTTCCTGTGGGGTCCCACAAGGCTTCATTCTTGGACCCCTTCTGTTCTCATTGTATCTGCTCCCCTTGGGGTCAATCCTGACGAAACATGGTATTTTGTTTCATTGTTACGCCGATGATTCTCAGATTTATCTGCCTTTAAAACCAAACGGTTCCTGCTCCATCCACCCTTTGCTAAAATGTCTTGATGACATCAAGACTTGGATGGCTGCGAACTTCTAGAGTTTTAATGATCAGAAGACTGAGGTCATTGTGTTTAACCCAAGCTCTACCACCATCACTGATCCTGTAAACCTGCACTCCCTTCAGCCACATCTAAAGCAGCCTGTTACCAATCTCGGGGTAGTGTTAGACTCGGACTTTAAGTTTAATAAACAGATCAACTCTGTTCTACAAAATAGCTTCTTTCAGCTAAGGCAGATAGCAAAGCTCAAGTCCGTTCTGTCCAGATCCGACCTTGAAAAACTAGTCCATGCATTTATTACAACCTGGCTGGACTACTGTAACTCACTTTATGTTGGGGTTAGTCAGGCTTCACTTTCACGTCTCCAGCTCGTACAAAATGCTGCAGCTCGGCTACTTACAGGAACTCGCAGGTTTGAGCACATTACTCCGGTTCTGTCCTCTCTTCACTGGCTTCCTGTGCGTGGCAGAGTTGATTTTAAAATTCTCCTGCTGACATTCAAGTACATTAACGGCCTTGCACCATCATACCTCTCCGACCTTCTTCATCCTTATACTCCTTCTCGGGCTTTGAGATCATCAGACCAGCTGCTTTTGGCTGTACAAAAACCAGGCTGAAGCTCAGAGGAGATAGAGCATTTTCAGTCGTGGGCCCTAAACTTTGGAACAATCTGCCCATCAACATTCGACAGGCCACCTCAGTCTCTGCTTTTAAATCTCTCCTAAAAACACATCTGTACTCACTGACATTTAACACAGGGTGATCGGATTTAGATCTGGTTTTTCATTGATACTGATTCTGTTTATGCTTTTGTTATTATTCCTATTTAACACAAGGTCATCAGATCTGATTTAGGATTTCATTGTTTCTGACTGAGTTTATGCTTTTTGTTATTATTTCCTTGACTTTTGACACAACGTGATCTGATTTAGTATTTAGTTGTTTCTAATTGTTTTTGGTTTTATATTTTTATTCCACGTGCTGTAAATATATCTTGCTACTTTTTATTTGATGTTGTGATATTTTTGTTAAGCACTTTGGTAACAGTTTCTGTTTTAAATGTGCTCTATAAATAAATCTGACTTGACTTGACTTGACTTCTTTGAATAAGACAATTTACTATTGCATTTCAAACAAGAGAATATAGGTTAATCTACACAACACTTGTTCACCCCCCCCCCCCACACACACACACACACACACACACACGTAACCCTTTCACCACCTAGCTCGTTAAATTTTGAGATTAGTTATTCAATATAGGTCCCAAATGAATTCAAGTACCTTATGGTGAAAAAGACATTCCAATGTATAGTAACTGTGTCTAGAAGGAGAACTATGATTCTCAGGAGGTTTGACCACAAAACAAATATAATATAACAGTATAACCTATAAGTTGTTTTTTTATAGTGTACTGCTGAATGAATAAATGAGATTCACACAAGAAATACGTTTTTTTCTTTTGTATTAAACAAATGAAAATCAGAACATGAAACAGTTGAAATAAATGAATTAATTTAACCCTTGGTTTAAATTTCAGTTAGTTTCAGTTATAACAGTGTGCTCTTAGTTTTTTATTTGTTTTTTATTTTTTATTTTTTTTGCAAGCTTGCTAATGAGTTGGTTGGTGTGCGTTGGAGCTCAGATTATTTGTTGGAAACTGTAATCCTACCAGCCTGGAATATTTCCTCGTCCTCACGATGCGTTGAAGGTGCAACCACAAAGTTTCAGACCTCCCCTGTGGCTCGCTCCACGAGGCAAGTGGACGGCTTGATCCCGGCGTCACTCGTCCTCCTCTTGTTCGGCACAACGGCGGCAGCTCAGCTCTGATCCCGGCGTCCAGTTTGACCACGGACTCCTCCACAGTCTTCTGAGCACGAAACTGATGTCCAAGCCGGATAAACGTAGCATCCAGCACGTTTCAAAGTTTTTTCTCAGCTCCCAACGGTCTCTCTGTGCACGTTCCTTTACTCCCCGCTACCTGCATCCCCACACCTGCACTTTTTTCACTTTCTGTTAATCCGGATGTAGTATTTGTTAAAGTATTTGTTAACTCGTAAAACAAATTATGAAATTCTTATCTACATTCAAAAACTATTATTAAACTGTTAGATAGAATATGGATTTTAACAACAAGAACTCTGAAATAATATATTTATCCAACATATTACAAAATAAAACACATTCAATGCCTCAGTGCATTACAATAAAATTAAATGTATTTTTCAATAAATGTCAACAAAAAAAAAACATTCTGACTGTAAATATAATCATGTTATTACACACACACACTCACACCTGGAGATATGGGGGGGAGGTAGAGCCAAATGGGTCTTCATCCTCAGGATCAGACTCCTGAGTCTTGAGAAACCAGAACTATTGATGAAGAGGTCTGTGCAGCTGAGGAGGTGGACAGCTCCTCATCTTGGCCTGTGGCAGAGGAAGCTCCAACATACTTCAGAAGCGACTTTGCATTAAGGTGCATCAAGTTTATTTCCTGCACAGTTTATCTATGCAGAAACAAACAACAGCAATTTTAACAGGGAATTGATAAGATGCTCAAAATAGGAGCTGCAGCAGGAAAAAAAAGTAAAACACAACAGCCGTGCCTCTGGTGGGAACATTTCCAAATGAAAGTATCACCAGTATGTTTGAATGCCACAGCTCCTTGCAGAAGTTGGATGCTGTCTACACACGTAGCACATTAAGATTCATAACATGGTACTGCACTGCACCTTGTACTCCTTGGTCAGTTGGTCATCATTGTCTACACGTAGGCTCTCACACTGGTTCATTTTCATCTTTAAATCCCTCCTTGGTCTGCTTCCTTCTTATATCTCCTTCCACATGTCACGCCGTCAGTGCAGTTACAACATGCGCTTTCAGGCCGTCATTACCTGCAGCGTTCTCTGAGTGCGGACTGCACTTTGCAAAAAGGCCTTTTCCTGCAACCTGGAACATCTTGCAACAGGAACTGAAGTTGTCCACCTTGATTTCTTTAGGGGGTGCCAAACATTTTATAATGTCAATGGAAAAATCAAGACAGTTATGTTCTTGTTTTTTTTTTTTACGGCACCCTGATTTGTTGTTTTATACACTACTCTTATTTTAACTGCATTTATACTGTAGATTTCTGTTGTCATTGTTTACTGTTATTGTTGTCTGTACTTCATTATATGTACATGTTCTGTCTGGAACAGGTCTCTCTTGTAAACGAGTTCTCGTGGCTCAATGAAGCTAGCCTGTAAAAATAAAGGTTGAATGAAATCACTTTTTGAAGGAAGGTGTATCACCTGCAGCATTACATGCCAAAGTTATGATGAAGGATGATTTATTAGTGATCCATGTAAATGATGGGAATGAGTCGTTGCTACTACCACAGCAAATGTTTGCTCAGTATCTATAAAATTGACAGAATCATTGACATTTTTGTGTTTGCCAAGCTTGAAAGGCTGTTGCAGCTGCTGACAAAAGCAACCACATGTTAAACTGTTTCTAGTTGTTATTAAAAGGGCTAATTGTTGCTTCTCAGAGTCTAATTAAAGATTACAAATTAACAGTGAATTCAAACAGAGGGAGCATGTAAACAGTTTGAGTGTATTTGTGTTTTAGAGTGCACTTCAGAGTTCTCCATGGGGTTTAATGCAGGCGTTGGAACAGCAGATGGACGAGCTGAAGATCGACAACAATGATGGCTGCTGTGACGGAGCTCAAAGAGACACCATTGACAGTCGACCAAGTTCTGGTACTCCCACTATTTAAAAAGCCCCTCTGTCAGTTTTCTGTCAGCCATGTCATTAACTTTCTAAATGAAAATGCGCATTGTAATTTAGCTTTATCCAATAATTCAACTGTGTGTTTCTATAAAATTGTTGCTTTATGTTGCTTCCATGACAATTTTCAAACTACACAGATTTTTTTTTTTTTTTTTTTTTACTTTTGTTTAATGTGTTTATTCACGCTCCAGTAGCTTGTAATTTAGAATAGAATAGAATAGAATTCAACTTTATTGTCATTGCACATGTCACAGGTGCAAAGCAAGGCAAGTTTGGTGGTCTAATATGTTGTGAGAGACTGCTTACAACTAGCTGGAATTTTGGTTTAGAAACAAAAACGAGTTATAATAAATCTGACGGATACCTTTTCTGTGTCTCTAATTTGACTTTGTTTTAGGATTCTATGAATCAAGTGAAGGTCAGTCGCCCAAAGGAAAATCTTCATCTGCTGAGCCCACTAAAACCGTCTCGTCCTGCACGCATGCCGAAAGAGCCAAGTCTTTAGGTAAGCATGGGTCAAAACATGGCCTGCAGAACAAATGTTTTTGCACAACTGCATTTTTGAAATGGTACAATTTTTTTATTAAGTAAATCAGTAATCTTAGATTTTTTTTCCATTATAAATTAAAAAGCCTTCACCTCTTCCTTTCACTAACAAAAAATGTATGACCTGCAGTATCAAGAATTATCGTTGAGTGTGACTAGGTTTACTTGTTCATATCTAATAAGTTAAGTGAAATATTGTTTACTACATTTAGTAAAGTGTCTTAACTAGAGAAAAAAAAATCATCCAGACTAGTCTATAGAGACAAATTAGCAGGAGGACCATTGCATAGGTTTATATTTCTTCCTAGTCCCTTGCAAACACTGGATTACTACAGTTTTATTGAAATATTGTAAACACCATGATTGCCCATACCCTGATGGACAAACTACTCACACTAGGACTAAGGCCCCCCATTTGCAACTTGGTACTAGACTTAACAAACAGACCTCAGTCTGTGAGGGTCCACACCTTCTCCTCCTTCACCATAACAGTCAGCACTGGCTCCCCTCAGGGCTGTGTGTTGAGCCCCCTCATGTTCACTCTGCTCACATATGACTGTGCAGCTACCCATCCAGGCTGTCACATTGTAAAGTTTGCAGATGATACAGCGGTGGTGGGATGCATCACAAACAACAATGAGTTTGGCTACGGGTGGAACACATGGAGAGCTGGTGCAGGAAGAACAACCTTCACATCAATGTAAAGAAGACTAAGGAGATGGTCGTGGATTTCAGATGGAGCAAACACACCTAACCCCTACCCCACCCCCAACCCGCCCTGAATATAGAAGGACCTGCAGTGGAAATGGTCCCCAGTTACAAATACTCAGGTGTGCACCTGAATGACAACCTCTGCTGGGGCAACAACACTTCCAGCCTGATCAAAAAAGTGCACCGGAGACTCTACTTCCTCAAGTGGCTGAGGCGAGCTGGTCTGGGAAGCTCAGTTCTCACCTCCTTCTACAGGTGTGCAGTGGAGAGCATCCTGTGCTCCAGCATCAACGTGTGGCATGGAGGCTGCACAGCTGCAGAAAGAAAAGCTTTGCAGAGAGTGGTGAAGGCTGCACAGAAGACTGTTGGAGTCAGTCTCCCCACCCTCACAGACATCTACACCTCCAGATGCAGGAAGAGGGCCACCTGCATCATGAAGGACCCCACTCACCCAGCACACACACTTTTTGCCCCGCTCCCCTCGGGAAGGAGGTTGCGGAGCATTAAGTGTAGAACCACTAGATTGAGGAACAGCTTCTACCCTGAGGCTGTTAGACTCATGAATCTCTAACCAGGATAATCACCATAATGCCATTTTAATTGGTGAAATGTGATTTATCTGTGCTGCTGTTTATCTCATTATGCTTCATTCATTCATACCCATCTGCTCATCACAGACTCGGGCTGCTTTTGTTACACTGTATTGTTTTACATTATCAGTGTTTAGTGTATATCTTAGATCTTTTAGCGTGCTGTTTGGCTTTCGTTTAGCATAGTGTATATCTTAAATCATATGTGTCAAACTCAAGACCCGGGGGCCAAATGTGGCCCTCGTTGACATCTTATCAGGCCCCCAAGATGATATGTGAAACGTAAAATACTTGTATCTCTTGAATTTTTTCAGTAATCTTTGATGATGATGTTGAAAGCACATCAGAGAACATCAAATGAGACCAATCAAACTCTTGTTGAGGAACCTGTGACCAAGAAAAGATGTTGGGTATCTGGTTTGAGTTAATGTAGATTCTGAAATTGGCCATTAGTTTGAAAAAGGTTTTAATTTTGGCTTCCTTTTGTAAGTGAGTTTGACACCCCTGGACTTGGATCCTTACTGTATCTTTTATAGTTAATATTTTTTGCTATTTTTGGAAATAACTGGGCATTACGGTGGTGCAACTGGTATAGCTGCTGCCTCTCAGTGAGAAGGTTGCTGGTTCAATTCAATTCAGTTTATTTATATTGCACCAAATCACAACAAAGTTGTCTCAGGGCACTTAACGAACATTCACATACATAAAAACCAATTAGTAAAGTTCTTTATCTAAGGAATCCAGCAGACAAGTTGAATCTTGGCTTCGTTGCAGTCTCCCATCCTGAGCAAGCACAGAGGCAACAGTGGAAAGGAAAAACTCCCTTTTAAAAGGAAGAAACCTCCAGCAGAACCAGGCTCAGGACAAGAGGTCATCTGCTTTGACCGGCTGGTTTGAGAGGACAGGAAGGAGAGACAAACAAACACAGAATGTTAAGTCCAGGTATAGGTCCAGGTGTATCTGAAAGACAAAAAAACACATGTTAAGGATAGAAAAAATAATTACAAATACAAAACAGGTTGAGCAGAGTAAGTAAAGACAGTAGTAGAGTGAAAATTGTGGTCAGTTTGTCCTCCAGCAGGCTAAGCCTATAGCAGCATAACTAAGGGACAGCTCAGGAAACCCAAGCTGACCCTAACTATAGGATTTAGCAAAAAGGAAAGTCTTAAGCCTAGTTTTAAAACCGGACAATGTGTCAGCCTCACGGACAGAGATTGGAAGTTGGTTCCACAAGAGAGGAGCCTGATAACTAAAAGATCTGCCTCCCATTCTGTTTTGTAAACTCTAGGAACCACAAGTAAACCTGCAGCCTGAGAGCGAAGTGCTCTGTTAGGAAAATATGGAACAATAAGATCTGTAATATAAGATGGAGCCAGGTTGTTGAGAGCTTTGTAGGTTAGAAGTAAGATTTTGAATTCTATTCTGGACTTGACAAGGAGCCAATGGAGAGAAACTAAAACTGGAGAGATATAATCTCTCCTACTAACTCCAGTTAAGACTCTGGCAGCAGCATTTTGGATCAACTGAAGACGTTTTAAGGAAGTATTTGGACGCCCAATTCCCGGTTCAAATCCCGGTCTGGGGGCCTTTCTGGGTAGAGTTTGCATGTTTTCTCCGTGCATACGTGGGTTTTGTACGGGTACTCCGGTTTCCTCCCACAGACCAAAAACATGCATGTTAGGCTGATTGGTAACTCTAAATTGTCCCTAGGTCTCTATGTGTCCCTGTGATGGACTGGAGACCTGTCCAGGGTGTACCCCTCCCCTCGCACACTGATTGCTGGACTGGGGCACCAGTGACCCAAAATGGAAGAAGCGAGTAAAAGATAATGGATGGATGGATGGATGGATGGATGGATGGATGGATGGATGGGACCTTGAGTACATAATTTAGTTCCACCTCATGTACCACATGTGATGTAAATGACCATAAAATTGACTTGAACTTGAATTTACTTTTAACATATCATTAAATGCTAGATTACTAACAATGTTTCAATATTTGTTATAAACTGTAAATTGTCACTACTATGAGCATAAAATCAGACAGATATTTTTTAGCAAAGATCAACTCTTATTAATTTTCAAATCAAAACAGTCTTACATCATCATGACTGTTAATCTTTATATCTCACAACGAGTTGCTATTTCATTACTAAATGAATAAATTATTAAAAAAAAAAAACAACAAATGAAAAATGTGTGGGTTTTTATTTTTACATTTTGTTTTAATCTTCTCTTAACATCTGAGCACAATATGTTGTTGCTTTCTGTTTTTAGGAGGCACCCTTAACAGAGAATTTGAAGTGCCAGTTCTACGACCTCATCTGCCGTGCTCTTTCTCTGCACCTCACCCGCCTCTGGAAGGTGTCACTGAGAAGGGACCAGCAGTGGAATCCTGGCAGTGGGACCCCACCTGGTATCACCAGCCTGCAGTGGATCAAGTCCCCTTTGAGAACTTCCAGCAGGCTTTGAGGGGAGAGGGTTACATTCTGAGTCTCATCCAACGTCATACCCTGTCACCCAGACCATGTCAGCCTCGCACCACCCTGACCCCTGACCCCCCATACTGCAGTGTCTCTGGACACAGCCCCCAACACAGGAGAAGTCCTTCTATGACCACAGAGCAACGCCCTCCTGACCCCCATCAGGATCATGTTGACCTATCAGCAAATCCCAAGAGCCAGGAGTGGGGTTGTGACCTTCTACAGGGGGAGGCTGAAGGAGAGGCCCCAACTTTTGAAGAGGGATGTTATTTGGCCCTGCCCTACCCCCAGTCTGGACCACACTGCCTGGCTGGGAGACTACCATCACCTCTGCCCTTTTTGGAGCCAAACTGTGGTTTTATGGCTCTTGACCTTTGCTGTAAATCCCTGTCTCCTCAGCATTATTTACATCCACAAACCCCAATTTCTTATCAAACACACGATTTAGTAAGTACCCAGTATATCCCTGGAAAAGGCTGTCATGCTCCTGTGCACTCTCCCAGACACTATAAACCAGAGCAGCCAAAGACGACTCAAGCCACAGCCTCTCCTGACCAATTCAACTCCAAGTCCAAAGCATCTAAAAAAAGTCCCAGTGATCGGCAGAAATCCAAAAAAGGAAGCAGTAAAACCAGTCGATGCCAGTCTGAAAACAGCCCTCCGGACCAGCGGGTGCTTCCTGAGAGGAAGTACAACACGACAGAACGCCGCCCAAGTCGAGCCAATCCTGCTCATAACCAAGGCCAGGTAGCTGGACCCCACATCTGTAACAAGGGCCACAGCAGGAGCCGACGCTGGTGCTCTAATCTGGAGCTCAGCCAGGATGAATGTGACATCCAGACGGCGATGCAGGCGCAGAGACGGCCCTCTCGAAAAGCTCGCCATGGTCTCTCCTGCTCCCAGTCCCATTCCCAACATCAGCCCACCCAACGCTGGCACCAGGACTCTCAGGGAAGAGCGCCTCTTTGTCAGGTGGAGGAGGGCTACGCCGGTGCTGCCCCCGCAGAGTCTGAATCCAGCATGAGTGAGGTGTACTCCCCACCCTCCAGCTCACTGTCCAGTGACTCAGACGAAAGCGGGGGACTCGTGTGGCCCCAGCAGCTGCCGCCTCGCCTCGCGTCTACCTCTTCTTCATCGTCTCCTTCACCACAGGCTTCTACCATCACCTCGGCACAGCCCAAAGCCTTCGTGAAGATCAAAGCCTCGCACGCTCTCAAAAAGAAGATTCTCAGATTCCGCTCGGGGTCTCTTAAAGTCATGACTACAGTATGAGAAACATCTCCGACCTGTTTGAAACCCATCGGTTCAGTATTTGATAAAAACCTGTCTCAGAACGGCACAAAAGTTGTTTTTTGTGCTGTTCTATTTTTTTTATTCAGCCACTAATCATATGCCAAATAACAGATGCTTTCTTTAAAGTGCACCTACCTCTACATTCAGCTGAATTAAAAATAAAGCTGAAGTTTGTATGGCTTTATTATTTGCTACTTTTACCACTTTTTGACTGTAGACAAAAAGACATCATCCTCAACTAACGGGTTATGATTCTTGCAAAGTTACATAAGTGACTGATTGTATTTACAGTATATTACAAGCATATTTGTATTTATGTTTGCTGCCTTATATGTTCTAAAACTAGTTTTGGGGGTGTTGATTGATCATAAAGATGGTCATTTAAAAAACTTTGCCACTGATATTATTTTAACCAAGTTTTTTAGGTCCTTTGTGCTCTGGAAATGAGGTACAAGTACTTCTCGGCTCAGGTACTTTTCCAAAATGATAGGTAAAATTAATGCCTTGAGTTTCTTAAAAGGTTTTATACAAAGTCAAATAGCATTGTGTTGTTATAAATGGAAACTGTGTTAAAACTAGTTCCTAAATTGTCCCATTTGCCACACTGATGGTAAGCCCAAGTCTTTTACCAGTTAAGTGAAAATAATTACCTGAAAGTGTACATTTTACAAACATCTGTAACACCAAATGACATTTTTCTTGGGAGTTTTTTTTACGGTTTATTTACATTTATCAGGATGTTATTTGAATTTTGAAACCAATTATTTAAAAAAAAAAAAAACTACCGGTAATTACAAAAAGGGCTGTTTTTTGTTGTATTCAGCAAATATCCTCAAGAAAAGTATTTCATTTGTGCTGCAAAGATTACGTTTCTGTTCATTCTTAAAGTTGAACAAGGATCAAATGCATTGGACTTCAACGGTTCTGTAGCTGTAACCCTTTAGAGAAAACCACACTGACTTCAGCTGTTTGTTGCAGCTCACCTGCAGCTGCTCGTGGCACCAACGGGTTTCAGCTTCTGTGCATCAGTCATGGGTTTTAGAAAAGTTGTTTACGCAGTATTTATACATTTATGCATGTGTCTGAAGTATTACTAAGAGCATAGTTTTATTTAAACACCTAATCACAAACGCGCTTAGTAAATGTGGTTTTGATATACCATTACGTGGCCATTTTTTGGAATGACTGTAGCATGTAAAATGTAATTTTCTCTCGATTTTGGTACATTTTTATACACCTTTTGTTTACTCTAAGAACAAAATAAAAAGGTACAACTACACTTAATAGATATGTGAGTAGTGTTACTTTATTTGACAAGTTTAAAACATATTTTCCCCGTCGCAGAGTGAAGAAGGGAATTGGAAAGGCCGTCCCTCCGTCTGCCCATCCGACTTGTGGGTTTCCATTCACCACCTATTTATATGTAAACCAGCCACCTCTGTCATTTGAGGAATCTATGTTTTACCAGTCTTTATATTGCTTTCCAGTATAGCTTCCTCAAATGATTGGGGTAGTCTTTGAGCGTTGCTCCAGGTGGTAGATGATAAAATGGCTCTCTGCTCACCAGGATCTGCCACTCTGAGCAGCTTCAGACAAGCCACATAAAAACGACCTCTCTTCTCATACTGTGGATACCTAGACTACCAACTTCAGTATAAGGTTTATTTGCATTCACTGATCGATTCTACTACAGAAAAACACTTGTCTCAAAAACTAATAACATTCATTATTCAAATCTCTCAGCAACTGGTGACTTGGGCGTACCGCTTGTAACTTTTGAATTTATTTTCTTATAACGTTTTATGTTGGCATGTTTTTAGCCTTTAGACTTTTGAATGCACACACACACACACACATACAAATTGCAAAGGACAATTAAGGACAGACTTCATGCTTCTCATCAAGTTTATTGCATTCAAACAGTTATTGTTACAAGACATTAAGATCATGGACAGATGTTCTGACAATAACCTTTAGAATGATCTGATATAATTCAGAATTCATTGTTCCATCAAAGATGGCAAGCCGTCCTGGTCCAGATGCAGCAAAACAGGCACAAACCATGATACTACCACCACCACGTTTCGCAGATGTTATAAGGTTCTTATTCAGGAATGCAAAGTTTTCCTTTCTTCAAAACATAACGCTTTTCAATTAAACTAAAAAGTTTTATTTTGGACTCTTCCAAACACAAAAAAATTTTCCAACAGCAAAAATGGTTAAATCATGTCATCTGGACCTGTTTCCTTAAGTGAAGAAACTTTTCATACACCATCCAGAGGACTTTGTCATATATAT